CCTTGATGTTTTTAGTCATACATTTTCACATTGCTCCTCCACACTTGTACTCAGCCCATAATATAATGTCATCACCCTCGCCCACTTGCTTGCAGTGAATTTTCTGACATTTCCTGAGCTCATATCAGCTGATAAGTATTATTTTTTCTAGGGAGCTGGCTTGAAAGCTTCTGGACATATTTAGAGATAAAATTTCAGAAAAGTTATTGGAAGTTTATGTGAGCCAAACTTACTGCAGTTATCATTTATCACAAGTTATCTTTAATTTGGAGATTCAGAAAGTGAATAATTTACTTTTTGCGTATTTCACTTACTAAACATCTCTATCAGTCACACACTAGAGTTTACTCTGTCAGTCATTCCTGAGCCATGCTGACAGGTGGTTTTTAATGTATGACACTCAGTAGGCTGGTAAAGCTGAAAGTTTCTGAGCAGAGCAGAAACTGATTTGATGATTCTTCAATATTGATAATGATCAGTCAAGTTTATCCTAATTGGATTCATTGTTATCAGCAAAATCACTGCATGCATTTTAGGATACTGATGCTAGCCCATAGACTGTATATACTATGGACAACTTGGTTCCGCCTTCCGCCAGTATACAGATTTGAAGCCAAAAAGCTCTCTGTAATTCCACGTTTTTTTCAAATTCCCTGAAACCAACATTGCACTGTGGTGTTGTGCGCGCTCCACCACTTGCACAGTAGCATTTATTACCTATACCGCAGCCAGAGGGTGCTGTTCTCGGAGTGGCTTCACCCAGCGATAAGGCAGACGCTGTCCATTGTATATACAGTCTATGTGCTAGCTTCATCTCAAAGGCTGCATTCCTATGTATGTACAATCTTGTCAAGTTGTAAACACACATGCAGACTGTTTCTCACTTTTAAGCCAAGCACAGATTTATGTCCAGGTTTTTTTTTTCCTGCACAAGAGGCCTTTTTTTGTTCTGAAGATGATGAGTTTTCACATGTGCCATCTCCACATCAACTCACATGTCCGTAACATTATTAAAAGGAGCACTACAGCTCTAGCTTAGGGGCCTTTCTGGCTGTGAAACCGTGAAGAAAATTGAAAAGAAAACTCTCGACAAACGCGCTATCTGAAATACAAGGCTTGATCATCAGCCTGGGTCCTTATCTTTGAGGCAGAGAAAAAAAGAGAAAGAAGGAGGTATTCATCTCTGAGGAAGCCAGCTTTGATTCTCCATTGCAATAAATCTGTCTTCACTCCTCAAAGACACAATAAAGTCTCTGAGGAACATATTCAGTCAGCATGACGCCTCTAAAACTGTCATACAGGCTTAGTCTGACTCAGTATCTTCAACTGATTCTCTAACCTTTGTAAGATAAAGTCATTGTTGTGCTAACGACTGAGTATCATCTGGTTTTTTATATCATCAATTTACCTTTCAGGAATCATAATGATCGGGTATTTTAGTAACATCAGCTGCACAGAGACGGTAGTTCTCCGAATCGATCATTTCTATTGTCTCTAAACAGATTCTCTGTACAGTGAACAAAAGGAAAGCAGAGCCAATCACAGGTTCAGCACACAGAGTGATGAAGGGCAGATATTCAAGAAACACACAGTGGCTTTAGGTTTGCTAATTACTTTTCAAATTGACCCATTTATCTTCATCTGAAAGGCTTCGAGATAAGAAGACTTTATTACCGAGCAGAGCTGGGGATCCTTTGTTCCAGATGGACAATGCTGGGATCCACCTCCGCCTTGAAAACACAGAGTAATAGTGCGAGATTAAAGCCCAAAGAGACAAAGAGATTTTACCTGCACGTGTTCAGAGTAGCTGTCATCCATACGGGCACAGAATGACCAAGAGAGCGGGGTATTATGGTTGAAAAGTCAGCTTTGTAGCTCCGTCATTAGGCTACAAGACCTTTGGACAACAATCGGTGTCATAATGTGCTAATACACAGCTGCTGGCTGCTCTCTGTGTGATACGTTATTTTACATTAAGATAATCCACAGCCTGTTATGACAACTGTTACCTCGTATAATAGCAGTCTCATAGTTACAACTGCAATTTTTTAAATTTAGGGTTTATTTCTTGTAAACATGCCCTTTTTTTCCACTCAGAGTTACAACTTCAGTCCCTTACTACTGAAAATATTCACTTTATTCTCAAAATGCATGAATTTATTCTTTTAAAGTTGAAACTTTTTGTCTGTTATAACTTTTTCTTGTAAACCACAACATTAATCTTATAAACTAAGGACTTTATTTTATTTACTCTTAATTCATGTAAAGTTTTCATGATTTTCACGTTTACTTATGACTCTGTCTTGTAACATTCTGACTTTATTCTTGTAAATTTATGACTATTATACCGTTATATTTAGTTTTTGTCTTACCAATTTATAACTTTATTCACATGAATTCATGTTTGTTTTTTACAACCTTTTTTCTGATAATATTTATCAGAAAGTGTTTTAGTGTTTGCTCATTGTTTTCATCTGACGAACGTTTGAGCACACCCATCAATCGTCCCCAGCTTCAGCGATGCAGCTCTGTGAGAGATCCCTCCATGCTCAGTATTTCCTTTTAGTCCTCATGCATTACTGTGACACATCTATAATATCGAGCAAAGAAAAAGCAAAGTGTTCAAAGTGCTAACACTCTGTCTGAGCTGAGGAGCTCGACATGGAGCGTGCCACTTGCTAAGACAGGCTCATTAAGGGCCGCTTCCTCCTGCGTGACAGCAGCCATTTGTTTAAGAGCGTATCTGCTCTCCAGCCAAGCTGCACGTAATGAGTCAAAGAAGAAGAGCGCTCACAGAGACACCTGATAAATGATGGCGTATACCTGCCTCGGATCAAAGCAGCATCTTGGACGAATAGTGTCCACAGGAAATCAATTTCCTGCCGTGAATCTGGACTGAGACCAAAATCTGTAAGATGTTTATGAAAACATGTTTGCAAATCTGTCCTGGCAGGAAGTCCAGCTAAGATGGAGAGATTTTAATATGTGGACCAAAAGACATGGGATTCATGTGTCATTAAATAAAATAAATCTGCAGCATCATCACTGACAGAACCATACACATATATTAAAGTTTGTATTCTTATCCTTCAGCTGATTAAATGACTAACTGATTTGTGTGCTCGGTCCATGTGAAATATCATCAACCTGAAGCTTTTTTGAAAATATATTCACATACATGATGTAAAATCATATCAGACACCAAGAATGAAAGCTTTCAGAGGAAAATGTTATTTCAAGAGTCAAAGCTGATCGATATGGATTAGCTGAAAATGACGATGATGAAAAATGATGTGATGCTGCTGGAAGTGTTTCAACCAACAGGAACAATCCTCAAAGGTCACAAAAACACATAAGACTACAAGACAACAGGACAAAAAGTTCCTAGTTTTTAACTTGTGAGTGTGTCAGTGTGATGTGATTGAAGACTTTAAAACGTGAGGCTTTCACTGACTAAAAAAACGTTATTAACGGCAGCAGCTGTGAGGAATTTTTCTTTCCTGTCAGCTGCGTCTCTCCTGCGATAAAAAGGTCTCAGCACTTGTTGGTGTGAAAGTCCTGATCAGGCTAGTGAGGAAAATGTCATTGTCATCAGTGTTGATTGTCTTGGTTGTAATCAGACGCGTGTGCTGGGGCGACAGGCATTCAGATTATAGATGTAGGTGATCCTCTAACTGAGGGTTGGGTTTGCTTTTGTATTTCAACTAAAAACTGCATCAGACATTTAAAAATCACAGTCCAGGATCACATCTTCACCCATTAGCAGTGATAAGCAGTGGTTGGATTCTTGTCTTTGAATTTGAATGGGATTGTTGATACGGATACTTCTTGAGTGGGATAAAATATTAAAACTATCAAAGCACTTGAAAGCACGCTGCATGACACAAAGAGGATATCATTATTACAAAATCGTATCTGTTTGCTAAGAGGGGCAGGAACTGAAGCGTTCAAATAAGTACGGTGTCGTTAACTATTTTCTACAGTATTTTCTCATGAAATGTAATGTGTTAGGTGTGGAGAGAAGCAGGATAAGAAAAGACTGAAGTACATAAAAATCTGATATTTGTACTTGAATGAACACACAGTCCTTATCCCATCAGCAGTAATCAGAGTGCTGCCTGGATGTAAATATACGCTGCTGTCCTCTGTTCTTGAGTGAGGTGCAAATTTCTATCTTCAGCCTCGAGCTTAACAGTGTATTCAATTTATCAGTCAATCAGTCAGCCAATTGATCAATCAATCAACCAGATTTTGTCTGTATAGCATTTTTCGTACAACAAAATGTAACACTAAGTGTTTTACACAAACAGACGAAATAAAAACCAAAGCCCTTATTTATGGTCAAGGTTATTATTACACAACAAGACAAAAAAAAAATCGAAAAAACAGGGACTAAGGGACTAAAGAACTGAGGAAATGCTGTCATGAGGAAATACTGGAGGTAAAACTTGAGTGGGATGATAAAAAGTACGAGATAACACCTACAAATCAGCAAATAAACGAATAACTTGTTATAAAACACAAATATAAATAGAAAATAATTGAAGTATGGCATATGGTTCTACAATTAGACAATAATTTAGAGTATAGATAATAAATATATAAAATAATATAAGCAAATTGGTGAATAGAGTGACTTAAATACGGTGAAATTCTGTTAAAAGCCAGACTAAAATGATACATTGCCTGTATTGACTTATTTGACTTATATCAAGTATTCAGTGCTTGCAATGATGCATCAGAGATTGTATGTATGGCTGCTTATTCTTGGTCAGGCGGTTTACTGTGCTCCTGCCTGTCTTTGCCATTAAACTTGAGAGTGTTACAAGCTAACAAAGGTAACTGTGATGTTTGACTGGAGTTCAATCAGAAGAGAGACAAACTTTTAACCTGAAGATCATTTAGCACAAACTTGTGAGACAAGAGACTGGAGTTATCAAACTGATCAACATGAGTATGAGTACAGTTAACTAACAATAATCAGAGAACAACCAGCAACAATGTTTGCAAAGCAGTACAGTTCCCTCATTGCTGAAATGGAGAGAGTCAAAAGCCTGACAAAACTGACTCCAGAGGAGAGGAAGGAGGAGGAGGTCAGGAGGAGGACGTATGAGGAGCTGAGAGGAGAAGAAGCACAGAGAAAGAGTTGCTCAGGAGGCCCTGGAGAAGCCCCAGAAGGAAAGAGAGGAAAGAGAAAGAAAGGAAGAAAGGACAAGAAAACAGAGAGAGAAGCATCAGGAGGAGAAGAGGATCCAGGAGGTCAAACAGAGAGCTGAGGAGAAGAGAAAGACCTACGAGCTGAAGGCCCTGCAAGAGGCAGAGCAAGAGCAGCTGAAGCAGGAGAGGCTTCACTACAAAAAGGTGATACAGGTGAAGGAGAAGCCTGGCAAAAGGCCCAGGTGCACCATCGAGGACCTGAAAGAAGAGCAGAAGGCTGAGCTGTGTGGCCCGCTGAGGGTGAGAGACAGAGACAGACGTGATCTCCTGACCTCTGAGAGAGACAGAAAGAAACTCCAGATTGATAGCTGGACATATGGGCTCATGAAGAGTTCATATCTGTTGAGGTCATTCTTATATCACATGTGAAAAACAAAAAGAGGTCGACAGCTTATCTGAGGCAGAAATTCAGAGGTAAAGCTGTTTGAGGAGGGGAACAGAACAGTGGAGATATTATTTCTGAACCTCATTTCTGAGCGTTTAGAGGCAGAAAAACTCAAATAATACAAAAGAGTGAAACAGAGGAAAACAACAGAGAAATGTTAAAAGGAGGATTAATGTTTAATAGAAAGAAACATTCATCTGAAAGTTCAAATGATCAACACTCAGATAGAGTATCAAAGTATAAATACTAATGCATTAATAAGCCTATCATTATCCTTCTAACGGTAAATGGAATATTTTTCTATAGCATTTGTATTATTTTCTTTTATATAGCACTTTCTCTCCTCTTCTGACCATTCACAGCACTTTTCCATTGTATGTCACATTCACATTCAGCTAGCAGGAGCAGGTCAGGGTCAAGTGGACCTGGGATCGAACCCTTGACCCACCATCCGTGAGACAATGGACTCACAGTTGAATTCACACAGACTGACCGTGTTAACCATAAAATAACTCTCCCTGACATCAACAACATGATTCCCTCCTGTATTTTAGACAAAGAAATCACAATCATTTTATATGTGGTATAGAACTAAGCATTGTTTAGACCAAACAATGCTCAGTGGAGCACTGTTTGGTCTTAAAAGAGGTCTAATAGACATCTAAATGTAGCCTAGATGACTGGTCTAAAATCAGGCTACCACAAATCAGGCTACCACAGGTCCAAAAATGAAAGTCTTTTAGACCAACTTTAGACCAACTTTAGACCAAATCTAAATCTGGGCTATTTCTAAACTACACTGTTTATTGCTCAATGGCTATCATACTTATTTTGGTTAATTGGAGATCAGTTTTGCAACTCACAGTTGCTTATTGAAATACATAGTTATTGAATAATGGGTTAAAGTGCAACATCTAAATTCTGTCCAAAAATATACAAAAAATAGACGGTTAAAATCAGGTCTAAAAACAAACCAGACGTCTAATAGCCGTCTATTGCCCAGTGGGAAGAAGTTTTAGTGGATAATGTATCAAACTTCCAGTAAGTTGCATAATTTCCAACTATCCTTCATAAAACAGGCTCTGTGGGAGGTATAAAGAAAGTACACAACAGTTTCAAAATCATGAAGTGAAATGTTTTAGATGTGGTAGTCATAACAAATCAGTGACCCACTTTATACTTTCTGCAGAGTGATTTCTACCTTCTTTTTGGAAATTCATCACACAGATGAACCTGTAACTTATTGATCCAGTCTTTTCAGAGACCAGTTATTCCCATGAAGATAAAAACTTGTGATTGTGTCATATCTCCCTCTTTAATACTGCGGCTGATCTCCAGTCAGCATTGTGAACATTCTTCTCTTACTAAGATATAAAAAAGGTTTTCAGTATCTGAGCGAGATTGACCTACTGAAGCTGTGTGCTGTCTGTGTTTCACCCCCGTTTTAGCCATCTCCCCCCCGGCTGTATCGAGTGTCTGCTGCTCAGGATGTGGTGCAACAATTAATCCTCAGATTGATTCACTTCCTATTGAATCGCCCCCCAAACTGAAGCTGTAATTCAACCTGTCCTTGTTAATCCTAGACGCTGCTTCACTCACAACACTTTTAAGGAAGAAGCGGCTAGACGTGCACCAACTGTTAATCCATCAATTTAAACTCTATTGGAGTCAGTCCTGTTTGTGTTACAGCTTAGAGTCAGTGGGATGGTAGTAGCTCTTACGTTGAGTGTAGAGAGAGACGATTTATCAGACTGATATAAGACATGATGACGAGAAAGTGACTGAAATGGTGACTTAGAGCTCCCAAAATATGACTTAAGCTAAATATAGAAGAACTATCCTTGAGCATACTTAATTAAAGGGATAGTTACTCAGCGAATGATGCTTTGGTTGAGTTAACCCGTCTGAAGCTGCAGCTGACAGCCCAGCTTCTGTTCTGGTCCTGTGGCCCTGTGGCGAATACTCTGACTGCTGACAAGTATTTCGTAAATCAGTTCATAAACCAATGAAAAGTAATGAAGATTTCGTTTTTCCTGTTATGATTTAAATAATAAATTGTATAATTATAAACCTATCAACAGCAACAGCAAGTTCTTTATGTCAGCAGCTATTTCCAAAAAGAATCAACTGTGAGACACAATCCAAGTGCCCACTTTTAGATATGAAAGACTAGCAAAATCTCTCTCGATCTAATGTGACTTGTAAGTGAACAAAAATGGCAGCTGATGGTATGTTGCCATGCTAAATGTTACTAGCTGCTGACAGATCCATCTTTACAGTGGTGTGAAATCAATTCGGGGGTGATTCATGGCCGCGATGTGATCACAGACAACAATTCGCTCCTACTGATTGCTACATGTTCAATCGCGCTTCCTACCTGCCCTGCTACAGTAATAACCTTTGTTCTAGTCCACACCATACACCGTATATACTATGAACAACTTGGCTCCGCCTTCCGTCATTACACGGATTTGAAGCCGAATTGCTCTCATTATTTACGGGATTTCCTCCACTTCCAAGAACCACCACATTCAGCGAGAGAGAGTCTCTGTGATGACGCTCGGCTCAAACAGGGTATCCAATGCAATCTTCATAAACCAATAGGCTGTATCAAGTGTGAGTCATAGAAAATATGAACGCCTAATAACTTTTAAAAATGGAGCTGTACAGAAAAAAGAGGACTTGAGCACAAACCAGTCTTACAATAACCTGACCTATACTACAGCATGTCACCAGAGGCTTCAACCAGCAAGGAGCCAGACGACGTCCATTATACAGTCTATGGTCTACACGCAACATTTTTATTTCTCATTTCATAAAATGCTAAAACCGGAGGACTGTCCCTGGAAATCAGGGTCACCCTAACTAATGGCGTTGTTTGCCACTGTTAAAAATGCGTAACACAACACAAAGCTGTTTTTACCCTCTTCTTTTCATAATCAAATTTGTATGGCTACCTTCAGAACAAGAAAATAAATGTTTGACACTTATTCTCTTGTTCTTATTTACATTCATTCTTGTTCTGTTTGACTGTGGCTTCACATTTGTCATAAATGCTATAACTATCCTCTCATACAAAACTTAAGTGCACAAGTCATTAAGTTCACCTAAATCTCGCCGCAGAAGACAGTTTATGATCTGCAGCTCCAGTGCCGCAAAGATCCCTCTGCAATTGCTTAAAATTCATTTTATTCTTAACCTTTTTTCCGGTCGCACCCCAGCAGTCCCTGAAAAGAAATAGAAGTGATTTTTCATCACTGTGTCCCGCAGTGATCACTGAGCCTATTTTCAATGTTTTCTTTGTCAGCGCTGAAAGAGGCAGGAAAAGCAGCAAAAGACACTGCAATGACAACATTCAAGGTAAAAACTACATAATAGCATTTCTTTTTGTTATATTATGAGAAAAAGAAAAAAACTCTGGGGCTGTTATCCAGCAGCGCTGTGGCTGCAGAATTGAAAATGTGCTGCAGACTTAGATCGCCTCCGATCACATTTCCATTGATAAAGTGTTGGAGCAGCATTTTCCAGAGTGAGATTTCATATCACTGTAGGGAGATAATATATTTATATTAAAAGGCTCTCAGTGCAATCAATCTGACCTCAGGGACATGAAAACCAAGCTTAATAAGTTTTATCAGCAGCAGCTTTTTGGGCCCATAAAGGTCCTGTTCATTACGATTATAGTGCAGCATTAAAGGGCTCAGGGGAGCGCTTTGAAATTATGAGAACAAATATTCCACAACTGGGAAATTTGTGTGGGCCTCAGTGGTGCAGATAGTTTAAACCAGCAGCTTGTGGGGACGGTGTGCTGTGAACATCATTGTGCAACATGAGACGGTAACAATGCTAAAGCACTTCAAAGGCAGTGTGCTTGTCACAGGTTCTCTAAAAGCTCAGCCATCCAGTCAAAAAGTGCCAGAGGGAGAATAAACCACAAGGCTAGGCTTTGATCTCGACAGGTCTTTTACTTTTGTTAAGAGCTTCTGAGGGAAATGAGGAAAACATTGTCATCATATGGAAGGTTAATTAATGTAAACTGCTGGGAGCCAAAATGCAGTATTATTTTTTTGTTGGTTTCGTACTTTTAGGGTTGATTTAATCCTCTGAAACACGCCGTATCATTTTCACACAGTGTTTCAAGATAAATCTGAACTTAACAGCTCGCCATATTTCTTAAAGCGACATCAGATGAAATGAATTTTGCAGATTAATCTGAAAGTAAAAAAGCTGAATCTACCTCGAATGTAGGGAATATGTGAAAGCATAAGATGGACATTTTAGTTGCTACATTGCAAAATTTATAAATGAAAACAGACTCTTTTAAAAGTAAGATTTCAGTATTCTTTCAAAATGCAAATGCTGAATGATGTTGCTTCTTGTCTGCAGTCTAAGCCTCACATACGATTGCAATTTGCAGGGATTAATGTATTACACGAACAAATTACCATCCTCTGCAGCTTTTGTTCAGTCTGTCAGTGTAACAGCTGAGCCGTTCCCTTCTTAAAATTGTCCGACACAAAAGTTAGAAACTGAGAGCTGCTTATTTTCCTCATCACTGTATTCATGCACCGTCAGGTAAATATGTGAAACTGGATAAGCAGATAATCCTCTGCAGGAGGGGAGCTTGTGCTCTTACAATAGCACCTGTGCTCGGCTTTTCCTGTTTGTTCAGAAAGCAGAAGTTGTATCGATTCCTGAGATGACAAAACATTACTGCGAGTTCTTTGATGTGAGAAACCATTCGGGGCTTTTCCTCAGCTCTGGACCTCTTTAGCTCCACAGCTCCTGACATTAAGGAGAGTTATGGTGTCGCACACTTAGATTATAGCCTGAAAAGACAAACATAATAAGAGCGGTGTGTTCTCTAGCAGCATAAAGGTGATTAATGAGTAAACAGGGCAGTATTTTCACTCTTGGAGAAGTTTGCAATTGTTTCACTCGTGCAGGAACAAAGATGTTTGAGGATTATACTCGATGAATAGCGAAATCTAGCAAAGCCTTCTAAATATAATATGCTAACTGCTTCCCTCAGCAAAGCAAAATGTGCATTACAGTGACTTCCCCACCCATAAACCTGAAAATAAACATGAGAGGGAGCGATCACGTTTACAGCTTGTTCTCGGCGTGATAATGAGAGCCCACTGAGTCAATCAGCAGAAAACTAACACGCCGCCGGGCGTCTCCCGCTGAGGCCCCCAGCCTCCTCTGAGCCCTGATTCTAAATTCTCGACAGTGTTGACTCATTTAAATATGACGGATGCTCCTTTCCCCTGACACGGCGGTCCTCAGACACTTGCAGGATGATTTGAGACGCTGTAAAGGAAATCGAGCGTACGCACTCACATCTCTGGGTACAGTTTGAAGTCACTTCCTGCTGCTGTTTGCACAGTGAGGTGCTCCGGGGCTTTTTTTGAAGGTTTTGTTGGAAAACGTTCATTTTGTCTATTTCATTGAGCAGGAGGTGGTACCATTAGTGTCCCAGTGATAACTCTAAGTAATAATGTCCCTATTGTGTTTTAGAATAGATGTAACATGAGGGTGGGGAAAAGTTGAACACAGCTGCATAGCCATTTTGCCATTTTTGAAGTCTTGTGCATCTTTTTTTTCAGTGATTTGAAACTTCTTTGTACTGACTATCTGACTTTGAGGTCTTTGTTTGACTCTTGCAAATCGGCATCTCTCTCTTTTGTAGTCATTTCATTTCTCTTTGAAGTTGTTTTGCACATCACTGTGTTTATATCAGGCCTTATGGTCATTTGACATCTGCTGTTGTCTATTGAATGTCCTTTAAAAAAAAAAAAAAGGTGCCTCTTTATGTTATTTTGCATGTCTTTGATGGTTGATTGTTGCCTCCCTGCAGCCATCCTTTTATCATTTCATTGTGGATCTCACATTTGTTACAACTTCACAGTGTTGCAGTTTCATTAAACAGTTTCAAAGTACATCTGACAGGGGTGTGATGAGCATAACTGAACAAGGCAGGAACAAGCTATATGATGAGCTGACTCTAATGGCTAGGGGTAGAATAGATTTGAATAAGGGAGCCTTTTTTGTTTCTGTTTGCAAGCAACCAGCAAGGTTTTGTACTTAGCAGCAACTTAAAAGACAGTGACAGGATACAAAACGCTGATTTAAGTGAGGTGGAGTTGTGCGTTGGTTTAAGACCAGTCGAGCTGCTGGAATCACCTGCAGAGGATGAAATGTGCATGAAGGAAGCACCTGCCAGTAAGGAGTTGCTGTATGCTACAAGATCCTGTGTGAGGAGCTGTGTTGCATGCTCTAATATCCAAGTTGGATATTGATCTGATTTACTCTCAGCGTTGTTTTAGTTGTTCAACATCTTTTTTGGATGTTTTGTCCTCTTTGCTGCACTTTGCAGTCGTTGATTTATTTAAAACATTAAATAGGGTGACCATATTCTCAATCCCCCCCAATCCCCAGGTCAGACATCCCCGACAGCCTCCCAAAAAAGAGGACATGTCCGGGTAAAAGAGGACACATGGTCACCCTACAAAATCTTAATGAGTCACCTCTAACTAAAGGTTTTTGTGCCAGAGTCCTTCTTCGGTAACCTGCTGGACCTAATAAGAAATGCATAAATATGTATTCTGACAAGCTAACCACCCACCAGGAGGGCATCCAGAGGTCACAGCAGCAGTTTTTAACTAAACAAGAAAATCATTTACCCATGCCCTCTCCCAAATGCCCATAAATAAAGCTATCTCACTTCTCTGCCCCCACGATATAATACTTCTCATGTTGTTATTGTTACAGGAAGTCATTCCTGAAGATCCTGTTATATTTCACCGTTCTGATGCCACATGGATCGCTGTGCAGGGCTCAAATAAGAGTGATGAGGATACAACAGGAGATAACTAACTGTGAACATGAGACGCATCAGTCTCTGATCAATAATGAGCTTATGACAGTGATGGACTGCAGGAATTGCAGAGAAATTGGAGAGAGAAATGGTCCTGAGCTCAGAATACAAAGCTCCTCCTCCTTCTGTCAAGGTCACTACTCGGTAGATAAACATCAGGTGAAATTTTGTCGGCTATGACTGAGTTCAGTGACACTCTTAAAGTTACCTTAACTGGCTGTTAAAAGATGGAGCTAATAGCTAATGACTTCATTTCAATAAGAGTTTTTCTCATTCACTTTGACTCATTTCTCAAATAAGAAAAGCATTAATTACACATTAAGCTCGAATCACAGCACAGTTAGTTTGTTGTTCATGACCAATTCATTCAATTTTCATTCAAGCAAATTACAGTGTTTTGATACAAATGTTCAAGAGTGATTACACTGATCAAGACTGATTGATTGTTTCTAAATGAAATAGTCAAAGTCTTTGCAACTTTTAAACATGTTCCTCCGTTTAAGCAGCACATGCAAAAATATCAATTCATTCATCAGAATATATTATAAATACCTGGCACAAAGTTTTTGTGGTTTCTGCCACAGTAAATTGGCTCACCTGTCAGGTGACATAGTGCAATAGACTAGAAATCACAACCAATCGATCACAATCAAGTTTGAAAGCAAACAAATAAATAGCTGGTGCTTTTCAGCCTAAAGCTAGAGACACGAAATGACCATCAGCTGCAGGATCAAATGATTCTGTTGAATGCAACGGATGACGCATTGCAAGGCAAACACCAGATTTGATGTTTGCAAAAATATCTAGTTACTGTTAACTAAACCACTGAAAGATTTTTATTTTTGAAGGATATTTTCTGTCTGTGTTTGATTTTTGCTTTTTCAAGGAGGTAATTTTGTGGCAACCCTAATCATACAGTAATTCATGACTATTATGATGATAAAGCATCTTCCCAGTTTGACCAGTATGGCTGGGATGAAAACAAAATAGCTTTTCACATTGGTGGCAAAACAGGAGACAGAAAAAGTGGGTCTTGGTATGACTAACTGGCTTTTGCAAACACGCATTAAAGATTTGAGGTACTATTAAACTGTTTTGACGGCTCATACGTCCTTACAGTTGAGGGCACATTGAGAAGAATAGTTGAAGAATAGGCCAAAACGGTTGAATAAAACATATTAGATGCTCCCATGTCCAAACTTTACCTGCATTGACAGGTCAGAACCTTTTCTGTGTAATGTAAATCTTCTCTGAAACCGCTTTAAGTGAGTAGAATGTTTCAATTTCATCTAAAACCACAGATTTTTTCATATGTTTCGAAATGGCAGTCATGAACAACAAACCTCCTCCACACATGTATCTTACACAGTGTAAAACAAATATCTCACATGCTGTGAAAAATGGATTTGTGAGGAGAAAATCTCAACTTTTGCATCCTCTAAAATATTCCACTGATGAGGGAGGACAGATGAGAAAACAGGTGAGGGTATAAAGAAAGCAGGGGTGGACAAAATGATCCCACTGAAGTAGGCTCATTTGAGAACAAACACTCTCCCACAGATTCAGACAGACTGAAAATAGGGTACAATGCAAATGTAAGAGTAATGGAGTACGTCTACCATTAAAATGCAATTAATTAATCACAAAGAAGATTTTTTTTACTTGCTTCATAGTGCCATTATGTTTGGCTGACTGCTTGCACATTATGGTATAATTTATCTATTCTTTTGTATTTAAGAGGATGACATAAATTATTATTATTCAATAGCTGCTAGACACTAGTTAGCAGATTTGCACGGTCTGAAATAACATGTATATACAATAAAACATGGATAGATGGATGTGACATAAAAAGTTAGCATGAAGAGTGTTTTGGCATTGCTGAAATAGACTTAAATTCTCACTGATGCCTCTTTATGATATGAAAAAGCTAACAAGATCATCAACTGGAAGACTGATGAGTTTTGTTCTGTAACTTTCAGTGCCTAAAGCTGGTGTCGGGGGGTAGGTGTAGGGGTGAAAGTAAAGCCGGTATGCAGCGGTACGTCGTACCGGGAAGACATAAACAGCAGTTTACAGCAGGTAGGCAAACTTTCACCCCTGTAATTTATGTATGTAGGCTACATTTGCTTACCGTGTTGCCGCACGTCAGTCTGCACTCTGCATTGTAACCGTAGTAATCCAATGGGATCGTGCTGCTTGCGAGTGAGTCGTATTTGCTTCCGCAAACAAACAAACAATCTCCGGAAGTAGTAGCGCTCAGTGCGCACTTTTGATTGGACGCTGGTTGCCTAGGCGCTGGGGATCACCTCCCGCCTTATGGGGAAGGGGGGGACTTTTAAAGAGACAGCTGCTTCACTCTTAATGCAAAAATAAAACAAAATGCTGAGGAAAAAAGGATTTTATTTTGAAGAGAAAGAGAGTTGCAGCAGATGATGATACTGTGCCATCAGAGCAAGTTGAGGAGCAGAGGGGTAAGCAGCAAAGCTACCAGGAGTGGATAAGCTACTGACAAATGGCCGATAACGTAACTGTAACAGAGCAACAGTTGGTTGCAATATGAATCTTGTCATTTGTATCTAAGAACAGGTGTATCTCAATAAATTAGGTACAGGTGTATCTCAATAAATTAAAATACATATATTCTAATTTATGGCATACTTGAATGGATTGAGCAACAGAAACCTGCAGATGACTATAAATGTGATTTTGTGTATGTTGTTGCAAAGTTTGTTACAGGGGTATCAGTATCTGAAATGGTGAGGAAATAAAACAGCAGAGGAAATAATATTGTGGAACTTCCTTTATTGTTCTTGTTCAAATGATCCATTAGTCGGCAGCTCGTTATACTTGGTATTGCTCCTCTTGTACAAAGCCTACGGGTACAGTACCTGCAAGAACCTTGTCCTACTTTCACCCCTGGGTAGGTGTCAGCTGAGCAGCTGAAGAAAAAGCCCTGTTTTTATTTCTTAACATAAAACATTCACAATAAATGACATATTTTACGAGCAAAAGTCCATTTGATTAGAGTTTAGGGCAAAAAGAAACAGCTTAAGGGTTTAGAGGACTGGGTAAGCAGTGATTGCTCTGTTCACAGGGAGCGCCAAAATCAACACAAACCAAAAGTTGCTCACAGGAGCTTTCAAGAAAATTTAAGAAGACCCGCTGCATAAACTCCAGGTTCTGTATGTGTCCCGGTTTATGTGTGTGTGTGTGTGTGTGTGTGTGTGTGTGTGTGTGTGTGTGTGTGTGTGTGTGTGTGTGTGTGTGTGTGAGAGAGAGAGAGTTTTTAAGATTTAAGGGTTTATGTTTTTATGAAAGGTGGATCATGGCTCACCATCTTTACTGGGACTGTAAAAAGAGGAAAGCGAAGCAATCGTGTTTTAAATATTACATTCACAAATGTTCAATAAACTGAATATTTCTCACCCTGATGGTTTGAAGAAGTTTACATCTGTGACCTGAGTGTACTCTAAAACATGTGATAGGCACAAACTGGAGCTTCAATATGCCTAAATCATTGCATGATGCACAAAGACATCTCAGCCAAACTCAAAATGATTAAATCATGTAAGACTTCACCTCTCAAATCATCACAGTATTTATGTTCAAGAGCAGAGTCTTTGTCCAACAAACTGGAGCTTAGTTGAGGCAACATCTGGATCAACAATTGCCATTTATTTTACTAGCTTTGACACTTGTCAGAATTCGCCATTAGAGCTGGAAGAGCAGCATCTTCCTTCCTCCCTCTGTTACCTGTTGTGAAGCAGATTTCCTAACCACTCAACGGTGTGGCACATGAAGGGAAACAACAAATATGACATTTGAACACTGACAAAGGCAATGATCCTTCTCAATAATTGGGACGAAATACAGTGGGAGTCAGAGACTTTATTTTACCCTTTTCAGTCTAATTGGAAGTCCTTTGTAGCTCAGCTGGTCTTACTTTTGGTGTACAAGTCTCATTACACTTTCTAGTCTCTCTAAGGATTAAGAATGCCAATTATAGATATAGTGATGCTGGTTCTCACAGAGACAGAAGCACAGAAAAACACTGATTTGGTTGCAGACTGAGCCAACAATACAGAGCTGAAAATCAATATCCAACCATGGTGCTGTCACACAACCTCTTGCTATCTGGTGCTCATACGGAGTTGATCCTGAAGTAGACTAAACCAGGAATTACAGAACTACAAGCACAATGGATTTTTCACTCACTAACATGGGGGTATGGGTGATAATGGTCGAAAATAAGATGTCTGCTATTTGATGGAATGGGCTTTCTGAACGGAGCCAGTAATAACGTTCAAAGCAAAGTGTGGCTGTAATCTCACGCTATGCTCCAAACCAATAAATATATTAATAACACCTACAGTGTAAGACATACACAGCCTTTCATTCCCTTATTCAATGACATACTTCTCATGGAAGAAATGATTTTTTTACTCTGGAAGAAAAAGCAGGAATCATACAGCATCTGACAAAGAAAAATAGCTGCTCCCAAAATAGCATACTGTCAGCCAGAGGGGGGATAGATAGTGGTGATGATGGGTTTTGTACTTCTGGGTCTTTTTCATGATTTGAGCTCGGGTTAATCATAAGGGATGAAACCACTTCCAGTCCAATCAAGAGAAGCAGAAGTTGCAGTTAAACTGCTCTCCAAGTGAGGATTTCATCGCACAGACAAAAACTGATTTAGGTGAAGAGATCATTTCATTCGCTGCTGCATCTACTGTCTCTGCACACCATACTGGGTGATCTAATGCATCGAGGATTTCATCTAGAGCTAGTTTGTGGGTGATACTAGAGGGCGTCAACCATACTCCAGTGAGCCATTAATTCACATCACACAAATTAATCCAAGAGTGGGCCTCTGCCACACACAGACAGCCCCTCTGCTGTGATGTACTCCAGCACTGCTGCACACAGCCACATTTTGGCACCAAGTTTTAACATGAGAGAGAGGGAGAGAGGGAGAGAGCCAGAGGGGAAAAAGAGA